TGACTCAAGAGTAGGCCTATGTTTTCTTTTTATATTATAATTATTAATATTATCACTTTTAGTGAACACTTATTCGTATTATCTAAATGCCCTGTCCTTAATCCAGACATGCACTCCCTTTTTTTCACTCGCATAAACTTTTTTCAAACTTTCTCATCTATTTTTCTGTTCTTTTACACCAAAACAACGTAAACATCTTAGTATTTTAACAACCAAATGCTATATTTTCTGTTCAAATGCCCTAAGCTGTTCCTGCCACCATTTTTAGGATAATATAGTAAATTCATAGGAAGGAATGAGACAATTAAGCTGTCGTCACTCACTTAACATAATCACCCTTTTAAACCTATGCCGTCCCTGACGGGCTCTCCGTAAAAAGTCTTCACTTACTATAAATATTTTACTTTAAATCCAATCACTTGCCCTATTCTTCGTTTTCGGTGGAGCCTCACGGCAGAGGATTTAATCTCTTATGTGTAACATAGGTCCCAAACTCTTATGTTTATGTTTAATTCTTAACATAGGTACCAAACTCTTATGTTTATGTCCAATTCTTAACATAGGTACCAAACTCTTATGTTGATCACTTTAACACTTAACATAGGTACCAAACTCTTATGTTTATGTTTAATTCTTCTTAGGGTCCCGGACACCTAAACCATGTGCACACTTATCAGAAATATATCCCTTGCTCCCCCCACACTTCAGTTGTCTCATATATTTTACATTACCTCCTCTGTTCATCCACCAACACTCACAGTTCTAACAGTCCTATTCTACCTATGCAGAATTTTGGCAGTAAACAACAGGCTTCTGCTTACCTTTGATTTTGGCCCTGTGAGTATTGATAGGAATCCGGAGGAGGTCTCCGCCGTCCTTCAGTCCCTCGAACTCGAAGACGGGAGTTCCCAATCGTCTTTCTGGAATCACGTCAGGGTCACCATTTTGTTGGGTTCAGAATTCCAGAAAAGACAGACAACTTCTAAGTTTAACTATTTATTGTAAAGAGAGCAAAATATATATATTACTTGGCCAAGGACTCATCACGTCTTTGGAAATCACAGGCAGCAAAGCTGTAATCTGTAACCACCCAATCCGTCAAGAGCCTCGAACCTCGTGCGAGAATACATTTTATTACACAGGGCGTTGCCCGTACATTTATGATTGGTCAAGACTAGCTGAAGAGATACCGTGGTTTAGACTTGGTTCTCTTTAGTTGGTGCACAGACTCAGATATAGTCTCTTGGCAACACGATCCTCCAATCAGCATTCGGCCGGCCTGTGGAAGTCCCTCCCTACTCTGGCACCATCATACGTAATTTGTTTTGATGAAGCTTCTACAGAAAAGTGGAATCTTGGTTATACTGATTCCCAGCTATGCGTGGGCGCGGAGCTAACCCAGGCGGCCAAGGCCATAGCCTCAATAACTCATTGTTTCTACAGTGCCTGCATCTGGCTTCTGCTACTTTCTATTGCAAGCTGAAAACTTTCTTCTGACTATTCCCTTCGTTGGTATATAACCCATCAGAACCTGGGATTAGTGATTGTGTCTATTTATTTTATAGTCATAGCAATCTCATGAGCACAATAAGCATCAGTCTTGTAATGTTATATAAAAATAGACTCCACAGTCACCAGGTGTAGGACTCAAAGGACTCGGGTTAATCGAGAGGGGAGACTCGTCACGACCAGCTCATTACTAGGATCCGGGTTAATGATCCGGATGAATCAGGACTCACCCATCTCTAGTCCTGATGCATGGCAGCGAAGGCATCTCTCCTGCTCACTGGTACATGCGCATTCGCGCAGAGCTGCATATCCTCCTGAATGCTAAAAAAACACAGGTGCAGAATTATCAATGGTTCGTACGGGTGCTGGAAATCCTTGAAAATGCTTGAAATTGTACGAGGTGTTTTCAAGGTTTGAAGTCTCTCGACCTCTTTCTGTCTGAACAGGAATGATATAACTGCTGCTGCTGGCAACATCACACACACACTCAGAAGTCCTGTCCGCACAGAAACAGCTGTTGCCTCTACACAGCCAAACAGGAAGGGCAACTGCAAACAACGGATCAGCGTTAAAATGTTTTGGACACTCTTGGGGCTCTAAATATTAACTTTATAGGTTTTATTAACAAACCTGGTCATCCATTTGTGATATGATCAGGGTGCTGACACATGCATATCCCAGCAGAAGCAGCAGGCTCACACACAGTCTCTGAGTGTGTGTGAACGCGTTGGGGCAGGGGCAGCTGTACAAAGATATCCAGATGTGGTAATCGGCCAAATAGTCTGATAGCTTGAGACTCAGCATCTGCAAGGGGGGTAGATATTAATATTAGTTTTTTGTATCTGAGTGTATGTGTATGAGGACTCTGTACCTTAAAAAAGCCTATTCCACGAGTGCATTTTCCCAGAATCCTCTCCACCCGCCCGTCACTTTGGTTCACAGCCAACCAGCACTGAGCCACAAAGAGCCACGCACGTCCCTTCAGCTGCCCTCTGCTCACCTGGGTTATTAAGAAACAGAAGGAAAACAAACCATATTCAAAAGGAAAGTCCACGCAAATCCCCAGCACTTTACCCAGAGAACGACATTTGCATATCAATGACTGATCCTGTGTTACAGTTTTATCCCAAAGGCCATAAGACTGATGAACTCCTGAGCTCTGTGCCTTCACAACTTCATACCATCTGTTCATCTCACATGTTTATCTATTATTACAATAAGAAATATTTAAATTCACTGTACACCATTTCATTTTACATTCTAGTGAACCCTGAAATGTTGAGTACCCCAAAGTGTTATGATAGTAATGTATAGTAGGGTCCCCAGTACATAGAAACTGCCGGATGCTAACTTGCATATGTTGGGCAATTTGAACAATTAGCATAAGTTGAGTTAATTAAGATGAATGGCATTATAGCATATGTAAACAAAAGTAAAACAATTATGTGGCCGATTTGGAGTGGTTTTGGGGGGATTTTCAGGATCAATGATGGCAGTTTTAACCAGAAAGTGGCCATATGTGTACTCTCTGTGAGCTGATTTTGACTACCATGAGTATTGTTGCAACCATTGGATGTAGAGAGCACAAGATGGAAATGATTACCTCTACTGTGGGCAATTCATTTTCAAAAAAATAGGCAATCTGTCCAATACAAATACATTTCTAACATAAAACTTTAGGGTACATTTCCGGTTTAACAACAGCTGACAACTAGACTATTTAGCTCATCTTATTATATTTTACTTGTATTTAGTGAACTACTCCTGCATTATTTGCACATTAGTCTATTTTATTTGTATTGTGTTATGTCTTATATCTATTTATGTTGCATTGTTGGTGGAGCCTGGGAATGCCTCCATGAAAAATGAAGAATTCAACAAAAAGTGAAAATTCTTGAACGATTTAAAAAAAACTCTCACAAAACTTGCAGTACAATCCAACTCTCATTTATCCAGTCGTATGCTCGTATATATTTCACAAACACGCCTGCAAAAATGTCAGAAATGTTCATGCAGAACGGTCTAAAATAGTGAGGAGAAATTGCACGTGTTTGTGAAGTAGTTATTCTGTATGTGGCCCTCGGTGAAAAAGCTTTGGACACCCCTGTGGTAAAGGATGTGTGTGGTAATGTCATTCTTTACCTCGGACACGTCCAGGTGTTTGATGTTCCAGCTCGGGGAGGGTCCAGAGTTGTCGTGCCAGATGTGCACCCCCCACACAGGGCCCAGGCTGTCGGCTGCACTGTGGGGTCAGAGACAGACCGCCTTTATAAATGAGCAAAAACAATTCAAAGCAGCTCAATAATGATGTGAGATTGATGTAAAACGCATCTGTGTATTGACTTTATGTGGAGTTTTGGATTTCACCTGATGATAAAGGTGTCTTGAGAGTTCCTCCTGAACAGAGTGCATCCTGGGACATGTAGTTCTCTTGTCTGTGAGAAACAGTGGCGAGCCGTCAGGGCCGTCAGGGCCCTCTGCGAGGGCCTAAGATATTCCAAAAAATAATATTTAAAAACATTAAAAAAAAAAATATTTTTTTTAAATATATATTTTTTTAATATTATTTTTGTTATATTTTTCATTAGTTTTACCGAAAAAAAACTTGATTTAATAAAATAACATTTCCAAAGAAATAAATCCTTCGAATCTGCCTGTTCAGTCTCTGTTTGAATGTCAGTTACTATAGCGGGCCTCTCTGCGATTCACAGAGGGCCCGCTATAGTAACTGAACGAGATGACAGTACAATTGACCAATCATATCTTCCCTCTAAATGGGTGGGTTTTATTATCGCGGACTTTATGACGAGTTCCGCCCGCTGTGAAACTGTTCTTGTTTCCATAGCAACAACAACTTCCTGTCAACAGCGTGAACTCGCCTTCAAAATAAAAGCATGCCAAATTACACTTAAGACATACAACTGCAATGAAAGTAACAAACACAATGCAATATCATTTTCAATGTCAAAGAACACAAATTGGGTTCACAGGTGTTGTTTTGTGTGGTAGAGGGTCGCTGTCATTGATGCGTTTTGCACCCTGGGCCGTTGTTTTGATATTCCGCTGAAGTATACGCTGTGACGTAATAACGTCTTTTTTTCGAGGGAAGGGGTGGGGGTCAGAGGGCCTAGGTATAAAGCTCACGGCTCGCCACTGGTGAGAAACCATCTTCCCCTTTGAGCACCATGTACACCTGTTAAACACAAATAGAGGTTTCCTTTGAATATCGGATCATTTTGGGTAGCTTAGTTTAATACAAGTCAAGGAAAACAAGGTCTAATCACAAATAAAAGAGAGATATAGAAAAATCAGGAATAATGCACTTTCTTTTAAAGAACAGAATTCAAGTTGTTGTTTCCCCTTTACTATCAGTAAGATGTCCAAGGACGTTTAGATGTATTTCACGTTTGTTATCAAAGACATCTGCTGGATTCTCATGGCCTTGCCAGTGACCTGTTTAACGTAGATATAAAGGCGGGAACAGAGCGAGACGTGTCACACTTCTCTGTCTGAACAGCGATATTTCAGAATGAGGAGAGCTGCAGTTTTTCTGGCGTTGCTGCTCTGTCTGCTCTGGACGGGGGCTCAGGGTGAGGATGGAGGGGGGACAGGGAAGAAAGAGGGGGACTTTGATATCCAAGGAGTGAAAGCAGCCCACGATCAGAGCAGCAGTCAGACCCAGATGAGCACTGACGTCTGGGCTGAACTCCAGAGAGCGAATGCAGGTAAGATACAGAAACATCATAAAGAGGGAAATGTTGCGAATATTAAGATACAAAGACATGTTTTTCTATAAAATACAAAAGTGATAAAGAGAGGTGAAAAGAGAAATCTGATTAACATACTGATAAGATATCACGTGTGGTTGTTTGTCAGATAATGAGCTGCTTTTTGTATTGCAGATCTCCTGGCTCGAGTCACAGCAAGTGAGAATAAGAGCACAGGTAGGATTACAAAGTAAACAAAGAAAACATTGAGAAGATTTGTTGTCTTTTTATAAAAACTGTACATTTGTTCCCATTTTTAAAAGGCAAAAAAGCGGTTTAGCGAAAATTTTAAAGTGAACATTTGAGTCTGGTAGAAACATTCTTGAATGCGCGGTTTGTAAAAATGACAAAAACTGAAGACAAATGTTGACCATCATTTATTTTTTACATTTTTTAAACTTGTTCAGCTCTAGAGAACAGGATGAGCTCCAGTGAGAAGCAGGTGGAGGAGCTCCAGAGAGAGAACGCAGGTAAGAAACAGAAACTATTATTAAAAAATAAACATTGCATGTTTTTGTGTATAACCAAAAAGAGAGAAAAGAGAAGTGAAAGATATATGTCAGAGAAACAAATTCAACATATTGATGAGATATTTTGTGATTGTTTATCAGCTGTTAACCTGCTCTTTCTCTGTATTGCAGATCTTCTGGCTCGAGTCACAGCAAGGGAGAATAAGAGCACAGGTAGGATTACAAAGTAACCAAAACAACACAAAAGTGAGAAAAGAGAAAATCCGATGAACATACTGATAAGATATAACGTGCGGTTGATCTGATCAGATAATGAGCTGCTTTGTGTATTGCAGATCTCCTGGATAGAGCAACAGCAAATGAGAAGAGGAGCACAGGTAGGATCCCCTCCCCTGCCTCATTAGCAAGGCCCGGGACCCCCACTGACCCTCAGCATCGACTCTATGCATTACATTACTCCACACAATGCAAACAATATGTTGTTCCTTTCAATACTGTTAGTCCTGCACAGCCCTCCAAATGTTGCACATTGCACACAAAGATACCTCTTATCTGCACGGGTTTCCACTTGTCATACCAATACTGCACATATTTTATTTTATTCTATTTGATTTATACGGGTATATGTACATTTCATGTAAATATTGCTATATTTTAATGTTATAATATAATATATTACAAGAAAGATGGGAGAAATGACAAACAAGGTTGTTGTTGTTTTCATAAAAATGTGTGATGTGTAAAAGTGACAAAAACTGAAAATAAATGTTGACCATATTTTTAAAACTTTTTCATTTGTTCAGCTCTAGAGGGCAGAATGAACTCCAGTGAAAAGGAGGTGGAGGAGCTCCAGAGGGAGAACGCAGGTAAGAAACAGATTGTGAAGAGTCAAAATGTTGTTTAATGAAAGGAACTGGTATACTGAGGAGAATATTACATATCAATCTCTGCTGGCTATCAGAATCCAAACCACTGACTTTTTTAGTTTAATAGACAGTTTGTTAATGAGTTCTCATCTCTCTGTGTGCATCCTCCTCTTTCTCACAGACCGTCCTCAGGTGGCGTTCTCAGCCGGTCTAACTGATTCAGGATCAGTCGGACCCTTCAGCACTGCAATGACACTGAAGTTCAGTAAAGTCTTCACCAATATCGGCCAGGCCTACAGCCCAACTACAGGTACTGAACACACACGTTCTTAATTAAACCATTAAAACATATCTTAGTTTTCCTACAGTTGATCATGGTAGAAAGTAGAACCAAGTCAAGAGCTCCTACATGCTCCTTATGTAAAAAACCCATCCTTATGTCCTGCTGAAGCACCAGAAACAATCTCCCCTCACTGATCTTCTCCTCTGATGCAGGTATCTTCACAGCCCCCGTCAAAGGAGCCTACTACTTCAGATTCAACATGTGGGAGAGCCGCAAATTAACTTATTCCTCTGTTGTATTATATCACAACAACCAGCGAAAGATGAGGCTTTTAGATTACATTGATAGATCTGGCTTTGTCTCTGAGTCTAACTCAATGGTTCTTCAGCTGGAGAAGGGAGATGTTGTCTACATCGTTCTGCCCTCCAGCTACGGCGTTCGGGATGATTCGCATAATCGCATCATTTTCAGTGGATTTCTACTCTTTCCTCTGTGAAGCCCACTGTAAAATAACAACTGCATTAAGTTTCAACATTACATATTAATAAATAAGTGTGTTGACTCTATTAATATAATGTTTGTGTTAGCTTGGTTACATGAACAAGACACATATGTGCCACAATTATTGGCACCCCTAGAACTGAAGTATATTTCCAGTCCAGTATGTTACATTTTTAGGTTCACCTGTTTGATTACACAGCACATTTGAAATCTAAAATTCAACACCCATGTAGTTAATTTTAACACTATGAAAGAGTTTATATGGAAACCACGAGCAAAGTATTAAATTAACACTTTCCAAAGTGTTGACAATATAACACTATCACAGTGTTACTATACCAACACTATGAGTGTAAGATGTGAACACCAACACCGATAAGAACAACACCATTGGCTGCAGCTTCAATTTTACACTGTCCTGGTGTAGAGTAAAACTACAGTAGTGATACATCTTCTCCCATCTAACACCTTTAAGAGTTAGAAATGTACACTGAGCTAGTGTTGAATGCACATTATACTGGTGTTGCATCCTCAACCCTCTGGAAGTTCAAAATGAACACTCATCCAGTGTCAAATGTAGTGTATTGGTATTATGATGTACAACAAACTGGTGTTAAAAGTTACAATGACCAATAAATCATTCCAGATATCAGGATATATGACAAGTGCTTTATTTGAATGGTGGCATGTCTCTTAAGACTGACAAATTCTCCCAATATTCAATTTAAACAACATTCAATATTGTTCAACAGCAAAAATGTATATGTACAAAAATAAAAAATAACCCTCTATGGCATTTGAGGTCCAAAAAGTTTACAGCACATAGCTGTCTAAGACAACATAACAAATGGTGTCATTGGCACTTGCAGACATTTGCAGATCAAAAGGCTTATGAAATTGCAGTGCATCAGGTTTGATGACTGAAAGACTATCCTGCTTAACAACATTAAAGGCATGAAGATACTCAACAAATAAACTTTCCATGTCTCTTAAGACTCACAAATATTCAATTCAACCAACATTCAATATTGTTCAACAGCAAAAATGTATATGTACAAAAATAAAAAATAACCCTCTATGGCAGTTGAGGTCCAAAAAGGTTGTTTGTTGCCGTGCCAGGCAACAAACAACCTTTTTGGACCTCAACTGCTTCCTGAGGTTCCACACAGAATCGTAAATCAAAGTGTGCTTTTTCAAAAAGAGAAACACTGATTCAAACAATAATCCACACAAACACACATTCAGACACACTGAAACGCACTCACAGATATGAGCTCTTGAAATCTCTGCTCATCTGGATGATCATCACAGTGGCCTATCTCTCTCCTTAGCATGGGGCCTCCATTCTCTTCTATTCTTGAATCCTTGGACCTCACAGGAAGTCGCGTCGCTCTCTGAACGGACTTCAGTCGCCACGCTAGAAACCCACCGCCTTTCTGACCATCATGAAAATGCTCCTGACCGAAAAGGACATAAGAGGAATGGTAAATGGACTGCACTTACTGTATATAGCGCTTTGGATAAAATTGACAATTCACCCATTGACATTAGTAATGGCGGCAGCTGCCATGCAAGGTGGAGGCCTGCTCATTGGGAGCAATTCGGGGTTCAGTGTCTTGCCTAAGGAAATGTTGACATGTGGACAGGAGGAACCGGGATTCGAACCACCAACCCTGCAGTCATTGGACAATCTGCTCTACCTCCTTAGCCATAGCCGCCCGAATGAATTGAACTACCCTATGCATACAACTACAGGAATTCTTAAATGCAGTGGCATGTTATAGAAATCCCACAGCATTCAAAGAACCATGTAAGCCATCTAAAACAGTATACTTTGATCATAATCAAGAATAACTCACATATCCTGTCTTCCCATGTGGATCTTGGAGCGAGGGAAACAGGGTAACAATCCCCAGTGCATACTTCTCTTTGGTCAGTCGCTGAGGGATTCTCCTGTAGAGCAAAAACAGTCAGTGGTTACATTTCATTCATTTAAGTCTAAGATAGACTTAGTTTTAAAACATAATTTATAAACTTAATGAACTCAATTTGTGTAGAAATACAATTGCACCAACTTCATCCACACTTAACCTATACATACATGACACTTTCATGCAAAGCTATAACACATTTGAATCTTACCCCTCACTCTCCATCATGTCTTGTCTGCAACTAGAATGTTCACCATCACTTTTCTTGTGGCAGGACTAATTGTTCCTTTTTCATCATACTCCTTCAGCACATCACTTCCACCTGGTTTGGTCAGCAGAACCTGTTTGATCAGCTTAAAACAAAACACAACAAAAATCACAGCCGTTAAGTAAGCAGTATAGGTTTATGAGCAATCTACTGGTACAGACACACGGATGGACAGATGGACACACGTCACTAAAATGTAAAACAATAATCTACATGACATATTGAACATGCAAAGCCTCCTCCTCTTTTCTGATGCATTTCAGAGTGCCACTGTAAAAATCCTTTTCACTGCTGCTTTTTCGAAGTGACTGAAAGAGTATCTGTGCCTGAAGCTGAGGATGAGGATGGCTCTGGAAAATAATGTCATCACACAAGAGATATTCAATATGAATATTAAAATTATATGATCTTCCTTTGTCATGTCTTTATGCAATCTGTTGGGGAAATATTTTCAGAGGCCCATAACTTTGACCCAGTTTATCAGTTCATACTGTCCTGACTGAGCACACGCACCTGTAACCTTGGCTGCTGTGCTCTCAGTGTTTCGTCTCCCTGTTCCTGCCTGTTGGCGTCAGCTGATAGAGGTGTTATGATTGTATCTTGTTATGCACAATGTTGATTATTCTCTCTGAACTAGCTAAATACACGGGTCTGGGGTAGAGTTCTTCAGAATTGACGTGGCAACCGTGAAGTCAGAACCTCTGACTCTTTGACTTGTTTTGTGAATTCTCTGGCCGAAGCTCCAAATAAACCATCAGTGTTTGCCATCAAAGCTCCAGCTCTCCCCGTGTCTCCTTTGAGTCGGTGACTCCTCCTGCATTGCTACACAGAAGTTTCCCCCACACAATCTACTGGTGAAGTGTTCTCAAAAATACAACAAACCCACTGAAAACCTCCATTGCAAGTATGAGTCCCAAAGTCGTTGTCCACAAGAGCGCACTCTACTTGGGACCAATACTTACACAGCAATGGTGGTTTTTAATCTAGCAAAAGCTTAAGAACACTATGCAAAAAAAATTGAAACTGAGCATTTTGATTCCCTTGCATCATTTTAAAGCGCGGCTGGATGAAATGTTATTAGATACCTGTCATTGTGAATAGGTTGCTAATTTATACCCCTGTAATTATGTTGTGATGTCCTTTTTGTTTTCTGATGTTTTTATGTGTAACCAATGTACTGCAGGTCTCCCTTGAAAAAGAGATCGTTGATCTCAATGGGATTTTTAACCTGGTTAAATAAAGACTACAAACAAACAAGAACAAGGCTTTCAACAAGACCCCCAAGTAAGTACAAAATTATGTATTTTCACCAAATCCGTGGAGTATGCCTTTACCCATGCACGTGTCAATCACACCACACATTTGATTCCTATAAACAATACTTTACCTTTTAAGATAGTATTGTTTATAGGAATCAAATGTGTGGTGTGCTTGACACATGCATGGGGATAATCAGCATACAATACAATTGAGAAATGTAAAATAGACCCTTTTCTCAGCAGCCATGTTGACATGCTGGGTAAACAGAGATGTAATTTAGGATGTAGGCAGGCCAGGGCCCTGATAATATGCTGTCTCACTGGAATGGCTGTGACACACTAAATAGAACGTGGCCATAATTAATTTGATCAATTACACCAATTCTTTTTCAAATAAATAGGCAATCTGTCCAATACAAATACATTTCTAACATAAAACTTTAGGGTACATTTCCGGGTTAACAACAGCTGACAACTAGACTATTTAGCTCATCTTATTATATTTACTTGTAGTTAGTGAACTACTCCTGCATTATTTGCACATTAGTCTATTTTATTGTTATTGTTTTATGCCTTATATCTATTTATGTTGCATTGTTGGTGGAGCCTGGGAATGCCTCCATGAAAAATGAAGAATCCAACAAAAAGTGAAAATTCTTGAACGATTTAAAAAAAACTCTCACAAAACTTGCAGTACAATCCAACTCTCATTCATCCAGTCGTATGCTCGTATATATTGCACAAACACGCCTGCAAAAATGTCAGAAATGTTCATGCAGAACGGTCTAAAATAGTGAGGAGAAATTGCACATGTTTGTGAAGTAGTTATTCTGTATGTGGCCCTCGGTGAAAAAGCCTTGGACACCCCTGGGGTAAAGGATGTGTGTGGTAATGTCATTCTTTACCTCGGACACGTCCAGGTGTTTGATGTTCCAGCTCGGGGAGGGTCCAGAGTTGTCGTGCCAGATGTGCACCCCCCACACAGGGCCCAGGCTGTCGGCTGCACTGTGGGGTCAGAGACAGACCGCCTTTATAAATGAGCAAAAACAATTCAAAGCACCTCAATAATGATGTGAGATTGATGTAAAACGCATCTGTGTATTGACTTTATGTGGAGTTTTGGATTTCACCTGATGATAAAGGTGTCTTGAGAGTTCCTCCTGAACAGAGTGCATCCTGGGACATGTAGTTCTCTTGTTTGTGAGAAACCATCTTCCCCTTTGAGCACCATGTACACCTGTTAAACACATAGAGGTTTCCTTCAAATGTCAGATCATTTTGGGTAGCTTAGTTTAATACAAGTCAAGGAAAACAAGGTCTAATCACAAATAAAAGAGAGATATAGAAAAATCAGGAATAATGCACTTTCTTTTAAAGAACAGAATTCAAGTTGTTGTTTCCCCTTTACTATCAGTAGGATGTCCAAGGACGTTTAGATGTATTTCACGTTTGTTATCAAAGACATCTGCTGGATTCTCATGGCCTTGCCAGTGACCTGTTTAACGTGGATATAAAGGCGGGAACAGAGCGAGACGTGTCACACTTCTCTGTCTGAACAGATATATTCATATTTCAGAATGAGGAGAGCTGCAGTTTGTCTGGCGTTGCTGCTCTGTCTGCTCTGGACGGGGGCTCAGGGTGAGGATGGAGGGGGGACAGGGAAGAAAGAGGGGGAGTTTGATATCCAAGGAGTGAAAGCAGCCCACGATCAGAGCAGCAGTCAGACCCAGATGAGCACTGACGTCTGGGCTGAACTCCAGAGAGCGAATGCAGGTAAGATACAGAAACATCATAAAGAGGGAAATGTTGCGAATATTAAGATACAAAGACATGTTTTTCTATAAAATACAAAAGTGATAAAGAGAGGTGAAAAGAGAAATCTGATTAACATACTGATAAGATATCACGTGTGGTTGTTTGTCAGATAATGAGCTGCTTTTTGTATTGCAGATCTTCTGGCTCGAGTCACAGCAAGTGAGAATAAGAGCACAGGTAGGATTACAAAGAAAACATTGAGAAGATTTGTTGTCTTTTTATAAAAACTGTACATTTGTTCCCATTTTTAAAAGGCAAAAAAGCGGTCATTTTAGTCTGGTAGAAACATTCTTGAATGCGCGGTTTGTAAAAATGACAAAAACTGAAGACAAATGTTGACTATCATTTATTTCTTACATTTTTTAAACTTGTTCAGCTCTAGAGAACAGGATGAGCTCCAGTGAGAAGCAGGTGGAGGAGCTC